CTTGGTTTCATTAATGCGATGCATGCGTTCCATGATGTTGTATTGCACTCATTGATCTACCAGTTATGTTGAATGATTTCTCTTTTAATATCAATTACTCACAAATACTTCATATATTTCAATCATACAAACAACTGCTCATTCAATGTGTGACGGGCGTATTATATACCGCTCGCGGTAACCTTGTTGTTCTGTGTTATATGTACATCTCATTTTTTTTCTTTTTAGGTCGGAGAAAAGGCGGCAGACACGACCCTAGAAACAATGAGTACACAGGATTCTGGAATAGGAAAGGAAATATCGGAGATCCTTAGTAGCAAATCTGGAATGGAGATGGCTGTCATTAGGAAAGGTCAGTCTAGAAAATAAATGTTCATGTGCGGTTACAGACAATGGAGAACTTGTTTTAGCTAAAATTGTTAAAACCATTCATTTGATACATCAGATAATGGTGGCAGTAAACCTTGGAAACAGTGAACTAACACATGTATAGTAAATACAGCTTTTGTTTGCTTATTAATGGTTAGTCCAACAACCCAATAATGTCATTTAGTCCATTAAAATTTAAATAGGGTTTTTATTGGTAACTAAAAGGGCATTCAAGTACTAGAGTAATGGTGTTGTAGTACAGTAACCATAGATACAGTACTACAGTAATGGTATTGTAGTACAGCCACCATGGATACAGTACTACAGTAATGGTATTGTAGTACAGTAATCATGGATACAGTACTACAGTAATGGTATTGTAGTACAGTAACTATAGATAAAGTACTTCAGTAATGGTATTGTAGTACAGTAACCATGGATACAGTACTACAGTAATGGTATTGTAGAACAGTAACAATAGATACAGTACTACAGTAATGGTATTGTAGTACAGTAATCATATTATAATACAGTTACCATGGATACTGCTTTATAGAAACCATGGAAACAGTACTAAAATGATCATTATATTTTACCATGGAAATTACAATACTGAGTAACCAAGAATACAGTACTACAGTAATCGTATTGTAATACATTTACCATGGATACAGTACTACAGTAATCATATTGTAATACAGTTACCATGGATACTGCTAAATAGTAACCATGGAAACAGTACTGAAATGATCATTATATTTTAGTAGAGTTACCATGGATATTACAATACAGTAACCAAGAATACAGTGCTACAGTAATCGTGTTGTAGTACAGTTACCATGGATACTGAAATAATGCACCATGTATCATTGGATAGTGATACATTTCCTTGGTTACCTTTCTTTAAATTCATCTATTTTTATGTTGAAGTGTTTAACCAGTATTACTTCATTATACATCAGGGTTTTTTTCTGTTTCAGGTCAACATCGACCAAAACAAGGCTGGCCAAAGCATTCCTTATCACCTGTCAAGTCGGCAGGGTCTCTCTGTCCTTCTGGGCTGTCCACTCCAAAGGGACCAGAGAATGATAAAGGTATTTGCTTCACATTTTATCAACATTACTTTTCAGTGTTTTATAGACTTTTTAACATCATTTGACTGACAATACAGGTTTTAAGTCATTTATAAATTTGCAGACCCATATACTGCTCAAAGTTTTACCGTTATAAACTCCGTGTCTTCAATTGAATCCCTTGTTAGGATAAAATGAGTGTCAAGGTATCTGAATGGAGTTTATAATATACAGTGAGAACCTCTTTAATTCCAGTGATGACTGTTTTTATCGCTACATGACAAATTAAGGTCATTGAGGAGATCGATGTAACATTTAGTTCATACAAAAGTTAATTGTAAATTCTTAAATAGTGTTAGGTTTGTCCTCACAAGTGACTTCATTCTTGAAAGGATCTTGATAAAACTTCATTTATTGGTCAATTAGTATGAAAATATTTCGGGACAAATTTTAATTTCACTTGTTTATTACAAAATTAAGGTTTTTCAATGTATATTTGTCTATTAGAATTGGATCTTTTTACACCAAAAACGAGACGTAATAGTAAGTGGTTGTTATTTGAGATTTGTGAGTTTGTTGTAACTGTAGGATGGTTTGTTTGTGAGTGAATGCTTTTATCAAAAGTTGGATTGAATTTCGAGTTTATTTCTTTTTTAATCTTTTAAGTTGGGTTTAATTTATTGGTTATTAATTTTAGTTACAACTAACTCCACATTATATGCATGTGTTGCATGATGAAGTGTTTTGCCTCTGATTTTTTTTTACAGGCATGATGAAAAAATATTCTGAAAAAATCAGAATCCACTCTATTGATGTGTTTATAAAGTAAAGATTGCAGTTTTTAAAAGACAAAAAAGTACAACAATATAAGATCTCAAACAAAATTATGTTTAATGTAACAAGGGAGATAACACTGCACAAAACCCATTCTCCAGAAAATGGTTAGTTGGCATTTGTTTATGAAATAATTGTTAAAACCACAAAACTTAAAGTAGGGTGGAGGTGGGGAATCATAGCTTAACTCAGGGGAAACAGAATTAAACAGGAAATAGCTTTTGCAGTGGTTGTTTAAAATTTAATAGTTTGATTAGCAAAATTTAAGTTTGATTGGTTTTGGAATGTGATTTGCAAGAATTATTTGAATGATTTGTGAAATATTTTACATTTTAAAATCTAACACATGCTAAAAATTGTCTCCTACATGCATTAAAAAAGGCACCCCTGCAGATCAGGGATTGAGAAAAGAATGCACCTGCTGTTACCCACTGCATGTATCATAAGAGGCGACTAATGCGTAAGCCCCTGCAAAATTTGGGGTTTGCTTTCGTGCCCTCTACTATTTAGGGATACAAAAGCGACTAAATCTGCTGAACCAAGTGAAATAGGTTGGATTTTTATATTTCTCTCTTCTAACTACCTTTTATATCCGAACGCCTTGCTTGGCAATACCTCACTTTTGGCTTTAATGTTGAACATTCGCCCAGGTGAGGAAGACAATGGGTTCTGTCCCCAGGCCTGGACATACAAAAGTCCTTTAAAATGGTAGTTGTTATTCCCTGCTTAATAATGCTCAGCATTAAAGGTAAGGGCAACAACTGGTTCACCCGTTGTCAGTATAATGTGACCGGGTGGAATGCTGTGCTTGGGGCCTTCGGCATGGTATTACAGTGAGATAGCACTATAAAGTCGGCATTAAATCTGTGCTATCACAAGGAGGCAATTACATCAACATATCCTGTCATGCATGCTTGCACAACCCACATGGAGGCACATCCTTAAATTACCTTAGCTGTTAATATGATGTTAAACATGATAAAATTAAACCAAACCAAAGCATTAAAAAAGGAAAAAAATAATCAAAGTGTGTGAAACAATGTTTTTATAAATTAAGTGAAGTACATATATACAAAACTGACTGTAAGTCTGATTTTTTCAAGATGCAGATGTAGGCAACTCAAATAATGTAGTGTGAAATACTGTTTAATCTTTGTCCCAGAAAACTGGCAGCGTTTTTTCAAGACGTCCACAGCCCAGGAGAGGAAAAGAATGGAGATGGTGAAGCGAGATTTTGATACAGGGAAGGTCAAACAGAGCAACGGCCCGGCCGTCATCCAGTACATCGCCTCTGACCTGCCCCTACTGCCGGGCGAGGCTGGACTTCGCCTCCTCCACACAGTCAGGGTGGGCAACAAGGCAAGTATAAACTTAGAGATCGAACTTAACGACAATGGTATCTTTACACTATTTTTATACGACCGTCAAATTTGACGGTAGTATTATGGTATGGCGTTGTCCGGCCGGCCATCCAGCGTAAACTGTGTTTGTCTGGCAATCTCCTCGACAATTTTTCCAAAAGTTATTGCCCTTTGTTCATTTCAGTATTTGAATTTTGTCCAGAGATCTCCTCCTACATTTTTCGACCGATCTCTTTGACACTTGGTATACATTATAATCATGATATGAAGTTGTGTCTCCCTTAAAAGAATTTTGATTCGACAATTTTTCCAAAAGTTATTGCCCTTTGTTCATTTCAGTATTTGAATTTTGTCCAGAGATCTCCTCCTACATTTTTCGACGGATCTCTTTGACACTTGGTATACATTATAATCATGATATGAAGTTGTGTCTCCCTTAAAAGAATTTTGATTCGACAATTTTTCCAAAAGTTATTGCCCTTTGTTCATTTCAGTATTTGAATTTTGTCCAGAGATCTCCTCCTACATTTTTCAACGGATCTCTTTGAAACTTGGTATACTTTATAATCATCATATGAAGTTGTGTCTCCTTAAAAGAATTTTGATTCGACGATTTTTGCAAAATTTATTGCCTTTTGTTCATTTCAGTATTTGATTTTTTTTGTCCGAAGATTCTCTCCTACATTTTTTATAGTATATCAGCTAACCACTCTTAGAATGATGCAGATCTTATTTCAATGTAAGAAAGTATAAAACACTATATGGCATTTGACGGGCGTATTTTGTTCCGCCCCGCGGTAATCTTGTTTAAATATTATTTATCTTATATATTCTCAATTCAGTTATCTAACATACATGTATGTATCAAATCATTGTAATGCTCATTATATTAAAGTTCTGGCCCGGAGATCATGAAATGATCTTAAGTCTTAAATTGTCTCAAATTTGGACTTGACCAATCACAGATAGCGTAATGAAAAGTGACGTCATATGTGATTGGCTTAGAAAAACTTAAGTCTTGGATATTTCATGATCCTGGGGCCTGGTTTATGTACGATTGCAAACAACACAGGTTCAAGTTCCACAAAAATGTATACATAAGACCTTTTTGAAGATCTGGTTGTCAAGGTTTCGAGGTTACACAGGGTCAATATTGAACTCTGTTTTAATTGTTTTGTCAGTAATGTTTGACTGTTGTTTGGCGTTTCTGTCAGGGTCCAACGATTGATTACGACGGGCGCCACCGAGTGGAGTCCATTCCTGGCAAACTGATGGTGCAGACAAAAAATGAGTAAGTGTGCTGTGATAACAGATGTCTATTGTGTATAGAAAGTTTACCTAAACTGTAAATAAAGTGCAGGGATTGCATGTCTTGCTTGAGGTTATGTGTCTGTATAAGTCTCTAGTCCATCGGGCATAGCTACTAAGTAGGTACAGTTAAGCGATGGAAATGTTTGAATAGGTTTTCTAAAACCCATAGTTGTTAGTTGTGTAAAAAAAAAATCCATACTCCATTCTTCCACATTGTAGTGGTCAATTTGGAGCAAATCTCCCAACTTGAATTAAGGAGACTTGCTGTCTTTTACTCCAAGCTGCTACATAAGCAATCCAGATTTGTGTCCCCAATAGATACATGAAGGCAGAGCATGATAATCAGTTTATTGTATTGAAATTTAGGCAATTGCTTCTTATTTGATCATTAAACTTGGTAAAAATGTTTCAGTCATGATCCCTGTTCTAGTGTTGTTCTGGCTTCCTTGAAAAGCTAAATTGTAATCAGTCTAGATCTTAGAACATCAATGTTCAATAAATCAACTGTGTGTGTGAAGTCGTAATTTTTGGGCAATTCAAAATCCAAAATGGTGGTACTGTTGTTTGACTGTTGTTTGAAATAGAGGTTTTGGAAAAAAAATGAAAAACTTCTGAAATTTTGATCAAAATAAAAATAAAGAGATAAAAAAAAATGTCCTTAACACAATGTTGGAGAGGTTGAATAATTTTGAGGATGTTTTTGGATCACTAAACTGGGATTGTTGGATACTGTATAGATTACACATCAATCCACAGTGTATGGTGTAATGTTGTATTGGTGAACCATGTGTGTCTAACATTCATCTTTCAGGGACACTGGGAAATCCAATTTTGGGATCCTTCAAATGCAATGGACAACTGGAGTGCCTGTGGCTACATCTGTTGAGGACTACCTGCAGTATCGTCAAATGGCATCGGGGCAATCAGAGCGTAGCCAATCACATTGTACAAAGTCATGTGACACCCTTACAGAGAAATCGTACGCATCTGCAGGGTTGCTGCCTAACCTTCAGAGTTTGAAACATTCAAAGAAAAAGTAAGCAACATTTACTCATTCACCCCTGAGGACACATTTGAACTCTTCCAGTTCAAATGTTGGATTAGTTCATTATGAAATTTCAGGGGTGAATGAGTTAAGATATATATTACCTTTAACAATAGAATAAATAAAAATTATCTAGTACTCTATAGCTAGGTGCAGTGTAGGTATTTAAGCTGAGAACCAGATGGAGATGCATTTCAGTGAAATCTGCATAAACAATCTAGGGTTCGCCCACATCTTTTCACTACCATAAGATGTTCTTTTTTTTCAGCTGCCTTATTCGTAATTTTATCATATTTTTATCCATCTCAGCCAATATCATATGCTATATATCCCAGGGCTACAATAATACACCTATCTCACGGTACGATAATATTGTGGAACACATGTCTGCTCAAAAGGTCAACTTTATAATGATAGAGTGTGGGACTTTATGGAGTTTTGTCATGTACGTAGTAAATACTGTCAAAATATAGTTTTGTTCTTTCGGAGAGTGGAGGATTCAAAAACAATAAGTACACACTTAAAGTTTAATAAACAAAAAATAAACTATAATTTCAGTACCCTTAGTGTATCGCTAAAAAAGGCAAACAAAACAATTTGATTGGTACACAAGATAGTATCATGATACGATATAGTACGATACACCATTGAAACCCTATAATGTATCACTGATTAATCTAACATTAAAAGTTTATGAGTCACAGCAGTGTCTCTTTAAAGTATTTAAGAATGTTGAAAGTTATAGACTTTTGCTATCAGGAGTAAAGAACTTTTTATCCATTTTATCTCAAAATTGTAATTTAAATTACCTGACATCTTGTCTTAATCCAACTGAATATTGAAAACCAAACTGATGCTTTAAATCCTTTACTTGTAGATTATACATGGTTTTAGTCAGCTGTGTCCGATGAAAAATGTTTTAAATTGAAAATTTTCTTAAGGAATATTCATAAACCTTAAATGGATTTGATAATCAGTAGGATAATTAGCATGTCTGCTTTATCATAATCTCGATTAACTGGCGTTTGACTATTCATAGGAAAAAACATGTCAAGGAGACCCAATTAAATTTGCCCCGGCTACACTCACGGACAACCTCCCACAGCCATGATTACCAGTGGGAACGTCCCCTACCTCCACCGCCCGTCCGCAAATCTTCATCACAGTCCTCTGATGTCAAGAAACAGCACGATCATTACTGTAAATACTATGACCTCACCAAGAAAAAGATGCAACAGTACACTTCCGTAAGTAAATTCTTCAGCAAAATCTTATTTATGTTGTCAATATTTTGATATATATTTGATAGTTTTTTGTTTGTAATTGTAATATTTGGTTAGTTTGGTTCCAAAATTTAAGATAAGAGATTTGATCTTGCTTGTTTGAGCTGTAAGTTCTGAACTACAGATGAGATTTTATAAGATTTTACAAACGCATGTATCACCCTGTAGATGATGTGATACAAAAATGTGATTGACCCTTTCCAAAACCCCTACCCCATTTTGATTACAGACAATTTGATGTCAGTGATTAAAACAAAACTACTCTATATTTGATCTGTTTTGAACAGTAGTGAAGATAACTAAGCATTTCGTATTAATCAGTCACTCCTTTAGTGAAAAAACTTAAGTTTATATTCAAATAATTTAACAGACATAGTCTCTTTTAACAGTTTGTAGTTATAGTAATATTTTGTTGTTTCTAACCATTTATTTTCTGCTTTTTTCATTTGACTTATCTTTCTGTCAAATTTACCGCAGATTTCTCGCTATCTGAGTAACATTGATTTGTTAGCCGACTTAGCGTCCACAGGTTTGTGACAGGAATGCCCTAGCCAGCCTTCAATATATAAACTGATAGTACACCTTATATATCCTGTAGGCTAGAAATGTAGCAAGCTCCAATTTCTTGAGACAAAGAGCAACTTTAAGCTCTAGATTTATAAACAAAATATTTTGAAAAACTTTGGCGATCAATATTCAAATCCCTCAGGAGTATTTAATAAAAAATGTAAAATGCCTTCTTGAAAATGGAGCCTTTATTAATTTTAATTGTCTCATAAGCTTACCAAAGTGTTAAATGAAATGTAAGAGCAAAGCTTTAACAGTTGCATTGTTAGCTCACCTGCCCGAAAGGCAAGTGAGCTTATGTTATGGTGCGGAGTCCGTCGTCCGTCCGTCCGTCTGTCCGGCGTCAACTTTTTGCTTTAAACAACTTCTTTTCGGTAACCAAAAGGCCTAGGAAGATGATATTTGGCCAGTAGCATGCTGGGATCAAGGGCTACCAAGTTTGTTCAAATAAATGACCTTGACCCACTTTCAAGGTCACAGGGGTCAAATATGTTAAAATCTTCAAACAACTTCTTCTCAATAACCAAAAGGCCCAGGGTACTGATATTGGGCCTGTAGCATGCTGGGATGAAGGGCTACCAAGTTTGTTCAAATGAATGACCTTGACCCACTTTCAAGGTCACTGGGGTCAGATGTCTTAAAATCTTCAAACAACTTCTTCTCAATAACCAAAAGGCCCAGGGTACTGATATTGGGCCTGTAGCATGCTGGGATGAAGGACTATCAAGTTTGTTCAACTGAATGACCTTGACCAATTTTCAAGGTCACAGTGGTCAAGTGTCGTAAAATCTTCAAGCGACTTATTTTCAATAAGCAAAAGGGCCAGGGTACTGAAATTTGGCCTGTAGCATGCTGGGATGAAGGACTACCATGTTAGTTCAAATGAATGACCTTGATCCACTTTCAATCTAATGTCCTTGTTCGACAACAAGGTCAGAGGCGTCATATGTTTAAATCTTTTAATAGGTTCTTATGAAATCTTAAGATTACAAGTGTTAGATTAATAACAGGTGAGCGATGCAGGCCCATTGGGCCTCTTGTTCAATAGTATTGGACATCTCAAATTTTGGGCTTTTGGATGCCATTATAATGGTTAAAATTATAAAAGGAAGTTTGCCGCTGGTAGATAATGCTGTCGTGTATCAACAGACACTCTGGTAAGCTCATAAGACATACACATGCAGGTGAAGGATGCACATTGCTTGTATTATACTTTTAAGGTTTTCCTGGTAAAACCCCCCCAACAATTTTCATATTTAATACTTATCATTACTTTTATATACATATCTCGCATCTCATGTACCAATGTAAAAGGTGTGGAATCCCGTTAACCCCATCGGATGACCCAATTGCCCTACCTGTAAGCATGAGTTTGGTTTGATTTGATCATGCTTTATGTCCTATCAACAGCTATTGATGGAAACAAATATGACACAGAGATTATCATGTCCCCAAATAGGCATTTCCTAAATTGAAATATCTCCAGGTAAACAGATAATCAATCATTTGCCAAGTTTTGTTAGCTAAAACAGAACTGCAATAATCGAAAAGTGATTGACTTTGTATAGTTATCACAGCTCGTTCGAATGAATGACATTTTGGAAAACTTGTTGATAGTCACTAACATGTACAAACCTACATTTTGTGGGCGAAAGTTTTCACTTTAGCGAATCTGTGCATTCTGGCATTCTGGGATTGAAACGCAGTAAAGTAGTATTAATCTAGAATTTACGTTCAAATTACATTATTTGCATCCGAAATGACAATTAATTGATCAGACTATAAATGAAAAATGTAAAAAGTATTTATTCTTGGTAAAAAGTATTTATTCTTGGTATAATAACTGTCTTTGTATGATCATTTTGAGTAGGAAGCATATTAAATGATGTACTTGTCATTACTTTGCCTGCTAGAGTGAAACCAACACCAAACAACTGGGTGGTAACGGTTGCCAACATTTCAGTATTTGCTTTAATTTCTTGCTTTCTTGCAGCAAAGAATAATCTGGCATTATTGCATTCATTTTTAGCTACCTGGCCCAAAGGGCCATGTGAGCTTATGCCGTACTGCGGCTTCTGTCGTCCGTCCGTCAACTTTTTCTTTTGAACGACTTCTTCTGAAGAACTGTAGGAGCTAAGGTCATGATATTTGGTCAGTAGGTACCTGGGATGGAGTGCTATAAAGTTTCCTCATTAAAATGATCTTGACCTACTTTCAAGGTCACAGCGGTCAAATATGTTAAAAATTTCAAACAACAATATCATAAGAACCGTTTGAACTAGAGTCATGATACTTGGGTATGTTATGTAGACTAGCAGTGCAAATATTATTTTAGTTACAGTTATTAGGTCAAAGGTCAACTTAAAATGCTAGTTGGGGGGGTAAAATGTCAACTTTGGTTAAAAGCTTTAACAATCTTCTTCTCAAGTTCCATTAGGCCCAGGGTCATGATATTTGGCCAGTAAGTACCTGGGATGTAGTGCTATACAATTTCCTCATTAAAAAGACCTAGACCTGCTTTGAAGGTCACAGGGGTCAAATATGTTAAAAACTTCACACAACAATTTCCTAAGAACCATTTGGACTAGAGTCATGATACCTGGGTATGTTATGTAGACCAGCAGTGCAAATCTTTTTCTCAATTACAGTAATGAGGTTGAAGGTCAACTTTAAGTGCAAATCGGGGTCAAATGTCAACATGGGTCAAAGGCTTTAACAATCTTTTCAAATTCCATAAGGCTCAGGGTCATGATATTTGGCCAGTAAGTACCTGGGATGGAGTGCTCTAAAGTTTACTCATTAAAATTACCTTGACCTACTTTCAAGGTCACAGCGGTCAAATATGTTAAAAAATTCAAACAACAATATCCTAAGAACCATTTGGACTAGAGTCATGATACTTGGGTATGTTATGTAGACCAGCTGTGTGAATTATTTGCATTAGTACAGTAATGAGGTCAAAGGTCAACTTTAAGTGCAAGACGGGAGTCAAAGGTCAATATGGGTTAAAAGCTTTAAAATTTCAGGTTTCAAACAACAATATCTTCAGAACCGTTTAAGAGATGTTAAAATGTATTGTGTTCTAGTTACCAAATTTGGTCTTAAGTTACCTATATGTCAGTTGCATGTTACAAAAGAAACAGGTGAGCGATTCAGGCACTCGGGGCCTCTTGTTGAAATACAGATCTATTTAATTATTATGACCATGTATAGGAATATTAGCTACTCTTTTTGTAAAAAGCGTCCCCCCCCATCTCTCTCTCTCTCTCTCTCTCTCTCTCTCTCTATATATATATATATATATATCTCTCTCTCTCTGAAATCTTAATTTCTACATTAAACGAATGGCTTTTATATCGATTAGTTACAAAGATACGTTTTTAAAGTAAGGTTTTCTTAAGCGATTGTAATTCAGAAATGGTGGAAGTTACCCCTACTTTAGCCAATGCTATAGTGTTTATATCTATGTATGATGAATTTATTACTAATCATTTCCTGCATGATATAGTTATACTGTCACTATATGTACACTGTATGGTAGAAAACACGCACGCGACTCCAGAACCTTCGGTTTAAAATAAGCATGTTAATTGTTGATAGAAAATTGCTTTAATTGGTTGTTGGTTGTTGGATGTTTTATGAATATTGAAAATTACTTAATTGTTGAAGTTTTATAACAATCTTGAAAAAAGTGATTGCATCTATAGGGCTAATTAACGAAAACACCAACTCAGATTATAAATTGATAGCATTCTGTCATTTTGTAAATGGGAAAATAGAGCTGTTTATTTAAAATCAGTTTGATAACATAACATGGAAACCTGTCTTCCAATGTAACTAAAAATAATACATTATAATTAGAAACAGAATCGGCTCAAAAAGTCTTGCCCTCGAATTGAGATTTCTCAGTTTACATAACTTGGGGTGCTAGTTTCTGCAGCATGTTTCAATTTCTCCGGGTCTAAACCTTTGCTGTTTTGTTAATATTTGCGAGGTTTATAATGTTAATTGTCAATGTCTTTATGAATATGCAACAAACATACGTGTTTTATTTCGGGTATGTTCTTTCACACATTTGTATTGTTTTTCCCCAATTTTCATAATGTCCTTTACCTTTTTTTCAGTCAAAAACAAAAGACTTGTTGCTACCCGAGGTTGTCATCCGAAATGCTCTCGGCGCTTCACCGAAGTTACAGAAATCCTTGACAAAGTTAAGTAGAGGACACAGCGTCCTTCTGCCTCCAATAACACTGAACCAACTCATCCACGTGTCAAACACCTAGAAAATGAGGGCATCATTGTGTCAACCAAAAGGATCATCAGCTCATCCACGTGTCAAACACCTAGAAAATGAGTGCATCATTGTGTCAACCAAAAAGATCACCAGCTCATCCACGTGTCAACGTACATTTTGTGTTAGATTACAGTTGATCCACGTGTAATCCACATGGAGAATCACCTCATCCACTAGTCAACCACATAGGAAGTGGAAAGTGTGTGGAATCGGTAGATCTGTCTTCTTGTGGTGATGCGTCCATTTTCATTAGCTATATCAAAGTAGTTGTTTTTGTGTAAGAAATTAATATCCAACCACTGTTGGCTGTAGTTATTCATGTGGTCTAAATGAATTTGTAAAGAACATGTTACATCAAATATGTAGAAGGAGTCGTTACGAAAATGTAAATATCTACAAAAAATGACTTCAATCTGCCAATAAACAGCTGATCAAATATCATTGACACCAGCAGAGTGTTGACCCTTTCACCCCTATGTAACTTAAGTAGACTCTATCATGCATTGATCTGGAGGAGTCCATTTTGGTCTACAGTGGTGAAAGGGTTAATAGAACAGGATAAAATGATATTGTGAAGAAAGAAGGTTGTCTCTTTAAATGGAATGAAAATATCAAGTAATCAATGCAGGCATACAAATTGTGTGCAGACAATACCAGGAATATTCTTTCAAGGATTACAACTTAATTCGGTGAAGGAGCTGTCCAGACCTTACTGAAAACAACTTTTTTAGATATGAACTTACCTAGTTTAATACCCCTAGAGTTCCGAAAACTTTAGAAATGGTCCCTCAAAGGATATTAACTTTTAACTTACTCCACTAAAACAGATTTCAACTTTCTTACTAAAACATACCATATTTCATCTTACTCCTTAATTTCTGGTGTCCAGGCAGTTTTTATTATCAGGAGAATAGGTTCTTTCTTCATAGCATGTGTTTTCGCTTTTATTGTACAATTAAATGCCTGTCTTAAAGCAGATTTCGGTTATGATGTTTCCGCGACCACCTCCTTTCATCGAACTGAACTGAACTAAAAGCTGATCAGTAGCAAGAAAACTGCAGGATTTGTTTGAAACCTTATTAAAATAGTGACCTTAACAATTTGCAATGTCAAACCGTAATTACTATTTAGAGTTTTATATGTTTTGATAAGTTTGGGCTAATGCTGGACATTAAGCTTTATAATAAAATTGACGTGGTCTTAGACGAATTCTCAAGTCTTCCATGCTACAGTGTTAAGATAAAACTGGTAGGTCAAAGGTGCACGTTCCTAGACAGATATAGGCAACGTGTTTGTTCACGATTCCTGTAGCTTACCTCTAACTTGAGCAAGTTTCCAATATTATTCTGTAAGTTCTTTTGGCGAATATTGTGCTGAAAGAAGGGACCTTTTTCATAACAACGATTCTTGACTTTTGTTCTGTGCAATTAATTATACATGCGTCCATTTTACTTCTGTGATAATTTGATAATGTTGAAGCTAAGATCGATATGTTATGAAGATCATGTATTCTGATAACCTGAAGTATTGTTTCATTCTGTGTAATGAACATTGTTTTTTATTTGTTTTGTTAAGTTTCACAACGTTAATAACAAAATGTGATAAATTGTCCATTGTATATTCAAAAAACTATTTACTTACGATATTTCATTACTAATCTTTTTATAGATGTGTTTTAATGAATATGCAATGTTCATTTTGTTACTAAAATATGAAGACTTTTGGAAATGTGTGAATATTATTTAAATCATGATCATATTTAAGTCACTGTATAAAGTTTTACTTAAAATCGCTTCGTTTCAATTTAGTCTAATAAAATAACGTAATAAGAATTGATCAAATGAATACTTGTTTACAAGTAACGGTAGATAGTTTGATATGATATTGTATTTATAGTAATGTAAATAAAGTATTTCCTGACAAATCAGTTGTGTTTATGATGGCTTTGTAACTAAATTACACTTGTATACAATGTATCCCATAGAACACAGCTGTCTGAACAGTTTTAACAGTATTCTTTTTAAGGATTGTGTGCTTACAATAAAATCTATGAAGTGCCGCCGAACCAATAACATGTGGTTGAAATGTTTTAATTCCCCCCCCCCCCCTTAAACGCCGAATAGGTAAGATGGACAAACTATACCACATTGTGAACATATAGAAAACTAACCCACATCTTCAACAAACAAAGAAAAAGTATACTGCGACGTCAACACACAAAAAAGCCGAATAGATCGAAGGATCAATACACAAAGACAAAATATACCACAGCGTCAACACACAAAAACAAGTCATAACTCAAACTGATACTAATGCTAACAAGTGATTTTAACACTAAAGGGATTTTAACTCAACTACACGAAGTACCTGTGAGCGTTTATGTCGGGGCATTCGTTGTTTTGGTACTTTCCAATATTTTTTGAATTTGGCGTGAAGCTTCCTAAAAAAGGGGTCTTTCAAATTCATTCAGATAAATGACCTTGACCAACGGACCTGGTTTTTGCATTTATTAGCTCACCTGCCCGAAGCGCAAGTGAGCTTATGCCGTGGCACAGCCAGTGAGGTTGGTTCGACCCCTAATGCCAGGGGGGCGGGGCCCTGAAGGGGAACTTAGCTAAATTTGCTTTAAAATGCATACCTTGCTTAACGCCAGAGAGGAATTCAACCAAATTTAGTCTGAAGTATCACTAGGGTAGGGCAATCATTTTTTAAATAAGTGAGGTTGGTTCGACTCCAGAGTCCAGGGGGGCGGGGCCCTGAAGGGGAACTTAGCTAAATTTGCTTTAAAATGCATATTCTGCTTAATGCCAGAGAGGATTTCAACCAAATTTAGTGTGAAGCATCACTAGGGAAGGGCAATCACTTCTTAAACAAAAATTCCACGGAAGTGGATGTGTCGCCTGTGCAGGAAGCTGGGAGATTACGAAGAAATAGATACACTTTTCATTTCAAGAAATAATGTTAAAAGTAAGTTTAAGTTTGATCGGCCCAAGGAAACTCAAGTTATCACACGAAAACAGATTTTCTATTTATAGTAACAGTGACCTTGACCTTTGACCTTCGGATCTGAAAAGCAATCCCAAGCAAGCACTTTTGGTAAGGAATCACTGCATGAAGTTTGAGTTTGATCGGCCCAAGGAAAGAAGATTTCAACCAAATTTGCGCTGAAACTTCATTGGGGTAGGGCACTCATTTCCTAAATAAATGAGACTTGTTCATCACCTGGGGCTAGGAAGAAATCATCCAAAACATAACATAATAAAATGAATAGGTTCAAGAAAGATGTTGCATTTTTCATTTATTTTGAACAGCAAGTTTACATATTAATGTAATTATAAAAGGTTTCAAAATGGTCTGCTTTGTATCAGTACTTGATTAAATATTTGATATGTATAAAGAATGTTTTAGTGAACAATAGTAAATGTATGTGTTAGTTTCACATTTCATAGTCACGTTTACCCTTGTTAAACCTGCACTTTCCAACTGAATTCATCATCAGGAGTGTCATAATAAATGTAGTTTTTATGACAACATTTGTTGCATAATACTGAAAGTCATCAGCAATTTAATGTTGGTGTCATTTCCAACTGGTCCTCATTCATGCATAGACAATCTCATCACAGGACATAATTGATCGCAAGAATTAATCTCATTACATCATATATTAGTCCATATCTGTATATCACACTTGATTTCTTAACAATAACAACATTCGTTTTAGCAACAGAACATGCATGTGTTTACTAACTGATCCTCATCCAGGCCCAGACAAAATTTATGACTCCATTTTTCACATGAAGGGCACTGGCTCCTCTGGTGCTTCCTTTCAGATTTGACAGGGTTGGAACAAAAGGGCAGGTCACATCTTTTCATCTTCACTTCGAGAGTTGTTGATGAAGAAATCAGACGCTGAAGTTCATGTTGTCTGTACGTATGCACATGGCACTGCCTCATCAGCCGTGGTGGAACATTCTTTGTCACAGCTTCTGCATTCTGAAGATTTAATTATTATGTAAAATGAATAGAGGAAAGGGTCGTTAAGTATGAAGACAAGTTTTAATGGTGAACTATCAATAATTCTGAAAATCGGATTATCAACCAAATTTATGCTTTTATTTTCATGGCTGGGGTATCCAACATAAGTAGGATTATTTCCCAGCTCTGTATGCATGACGCTTAATATTGGAGAATATGAAAAAAAGAAAATGCTGCTGTAAAGTGCTATCTATTTAGGCTACAAATAAATAGAATTGGCTATTTCGTATCTATATCACTGGCAACAATAAACATTATATATATGACATTACATTCCTTCCATGATATAATAAAGAAGTATATAATTTTGCTCTATTTGTTGAGATGTTAAAAATGCAACAGTTGCATTCTGCCCCTAATTCATGATGCCAAAGTATTTTACACATACTATGTTACGGTGGTATAATTACATCTAAAATTCAAAAATAAATTGCCAATACTTACCATCAGTACAAATACACCACAAGAGCTTCCATCTTCTGGCACAGAAGATTGTGTCTGACCTCTGGTCCACTTGATGGGGTTCTTGTTGTCCAAGAGGGAAAGTCGAGCATCCATGAATTTCCTGATTAAAAAACAACATAACAATTAGTAAGCAAGTACAGATTGAATTTAAAGAGAATGTTTTCTTATACACCAGCAAAACAATTCAATTTGAATATTTCCAAATGAAATATAAAGCTATGTTAAATTACATAAACTTTAATCAATTACCAGGTTATACCAGGTAACCTTGGTTAACAACATATGTAAAAAATGTGCAGAACAATTCTGATATGCATTACACATCAAAAATGCTTGTAAAATCTCTTTTTACCCTGTTTTACATGTACATTTGACAATTGATAAGTCTTTAAAACTTTATAAATAATGTATCATTAGTTTGACTTGGTCATCCTTTCATTTATGTTTTAAATGTAACACATTCAGAGGCATCTAAAATAGATTGCTGTAAAATATGAACTTAAATATATGTGAATAAGAAATCACCATATTATCAAACTTATACTCAAATAACTAAACTTACATCCAATGAAGGAAAAATGTTCTTGCTCTGGATTCACTTGGAACAGAATCAAGTATGGTGACCTCTCCAGTGATCATGGATGCCACAAGTAAAAACCAGTGTTGCTGATGGCAGATGGGCAAGAGAACATGACAGAAGTTCTCAAGAGGCACCTAAAAAAGAAAATCAACTTTGTCACAACTATACAGTAAAGCATGATGACATCTGATGAAGAAATACTCCAGAAAAGACTATGTCGAACATTTCTAGATAGATGTTCAAGATTTTCAACCTACCTTCATCAGATGGTCGACTATTCAAATCACCCTTTATAACTCACATTTGAATAAGAATGTCATACGCTTCGATCAAAAGTTACCATAAGTTAATAAACTTTTTACATGACTCCATCCAACAGATAAGATAAAAGATCAATCTTACATACAACCTATGAATGAAGAATGTATGATGTTGGACAACAAGAAACCCCTGGGATTGTTTCTTTTTATGATTTGCCTTATAGCTGAAGCCATATGCATGAATTTGGTATAGATATGATGGACTAAGAAAAAATATCATCAGTCTATTTTATCTTCCTAATTGTATTAACTTAAACATCACCACATAGGTTTTAAGCTCCTTATGTCTGTTATTTTATCAATTTTATGAATGAATGTACATGTATATTGAATAAACACTTACCTTGGGATACAGCCATGATTGGTATTTCTCAGTGTCCCACTTTAAGGCGAGAAAGTTGGGCAAGATGTGGCATGTGCGTGGATTTCTGTCATTGCACTCCTTGCTCAGTAAGCCCAAGTATGCATGTACCACCTAAAGATAATTCAAAAGTTATCGGTTGAATGCAAACAATATTTTTCAAGTTTTTTCTGGTATCGTTGATGATCTCTGGTCTGCATGAGACAGTTGACACCATATTTATTTTGTAAACCCATTCATAATGCGATTTCAGTGACCAATAAATAGTCTTAACAATCATTTAAAACTATTGTAAAAAACATACTGCATTTACATATGTATCAAGAAGGACATTTTACCTGATCATTTAGCCATGCCATGGGACGTAGAGTTCGAAGATCGTTTGGTGACAAGCTAACATTCCCCACATGGACATTTTCTCTTGGTATTGGCATTGGTTGTGTTGCTGCTGTGCTGAATGGGATAGGCCGTACAGTTTCCAAAAGAGCTGTGATGTCAGTCTTCTCATGGAAAGCAAATGTCAACACTGAGGCAGCCAGCTGCAATTTGTACTCATTTTCCATTAGATGAATATCCTTTTTGGCAGTGACGTACCAGGTTGTGTACAAGTCCCAGCACTCTGACAGGTCTGCTTCATGCTTCTGTTGGCATTC